CATCAGCACATGGAGGAAGCAGAATAAGAGAAAATCTGTTCTTAATTGGCAGAATTTTGAATATAGCCCTTTTCAGTGTAATAGCATGGAAATGATTCGAATCTACAAATTCTAGCTCTACATCAAATAAGCATAGTGATATCCTAGTCCAAACATTGAATTTGAAAGATGAATTGGCCAATAGCATCTTCTGGAAGTGTTCTTTGAGTTATCTGATCTGGTTTGACAGAACCAATCATTGAATTTGGAAGATGAATGTGTTCATAGCATCTTCTAGAAGTGTTCTTTGAGTTATCTGATCTGGTTTGGCAGAACCAATCATTGAATTTGGAAGATGAATGTGTTCATAGCATCTTCTAGAAGTGTTCTTTGAGTTATCTGATCTGGTTTGGCAGAACCAATCATTGAATTTGGAAGATGAATGTGTTCATAGCATCTTCTAGAAGTGTTCTTTGAGTTATCTGATATGGTTTGGCAGAACCAATCATTAAATTTGGAAGATGAATGTGTTCATAGCATCTTCTGGAAGTGTTCTTTGAGTTATCTGATCTGGTTTGGTAGGAACTACAGAACCAATCATTGGAATTAAAAGATGAACTGCATGATCGTCTTCATTAAGAAGTTTCTTTTCAAGCTTCTTTTGCTTATCCCTTTCCCAAAAATCATAGCACAAGTTTCGTCTTTGCTTGTAACTGGGATCATCACATAATGGCTTCCCATCTTTTACCAGAAGAAGTGCGTCAGCATCTTTAGTCATTTGAACAACACATATAAAATCTATCAATTTTGCAATTGATGAATCTGGACCACGTTTCTCCAGGGCTATTTGAAGTTTCAGCCTCTGAGAATTCCATTTTTGTCAAGTATAACAGTTTATTCTCCTCATCAGAATCAGAATTCAAGATTTCTCGGTATTAGAAGAACTATCGATATCTGTGAAATCATCTTGAAAGGTCACTTCATAATCAGATGCTTTGTTATCAGAATCAACATGTTGCCTGAATGCAAGCTTTTCAAGAGCCTATACTATTGAGTTTTATTCTCAAGAGGTTTTGTGACATTATATCTACATTTGTCAAAGATGATAGATTCTCTGATTTGAAGAAGAAAAATATATTGGGTTTTTACAATTAAAGAAATACTCAATTCACCAATCTGAAATCAAACAACCTAACATTCATGCATCATATTTAGGCATTTGCAAAAATAGATGCATTTTCATTCATTTTTATTCTTGTAGAATTTTTAACAGGAATTTCAAAGATTTTAGCAAAGATTCAAATCCATCACTTGATGGATCAGCTTTTCCAGAGAAAGTTCATAATGAGAAGAACTCATCTGAAGAAGGAAGAAAAAGTTCATAATGAGAAGAGCTTGTTCAACCTTTGCTCAAATCCATCACTTGATGGATCAGCTTTTCCAGAGAAAGTTCATAATGAGAAGAACTCATCTGAAGAAGGAAGAAAAAGTTCATAATGAGAAGAGCTTGTTCAACCTTTGCTCAAATCCATCACTTGATGGATCAGCTTTTCCAGAGAAAGTTCATAATGAGAAGAACTCATCTGAAGAAGGAAGAAAAAGTTCATAATGAGAAGAGCTTGTTCAACCTTTGCTCAAATCCATCACTTGATGGATCAGCTTTTCCAGAGAAAGTTCATAATGAGAAGAACTCATCTGAAGAAGGAAGAAGAAGTTCATAATGAGAAGAACTTGTTCAACCTTTTACATGAATTCATCAATTGATGGATCAGCATTTCCAGAGAAGATCATAATGAGAAGAACTCATCTGAAGAAGGAAGAAGAAGTTCATAATAAGAAGAACTTGTTCAACTTTTTGCATAATTCTATCACAGAAGGAGATAGATTAGCATCAGCCTTTCTAGAGAAAGTTCAGAATGAGAAGAACTCATCAAAAGCTTATTCAACCTTTTGAATGACTCTATCACAGAAAGAAAGAAGTCAACATCATCCCCAGCAGAAAGTTCATAATGAGAAGAACTCATCTGAAGAAAGAGAAGAATTTATTCAATATCTCCTTTATGATCAAGTGAAGCCAAATGGATAAAAAAATTATCTTTTCATCTTTGCCCTATTCTTGTTAACACAAGAATGAGCAAAGAGGGGCAGCTGAAGATACTAATTTTTTACCCATATTATAAATATTATTATTATTATTATTATTATTATTATTACTATAATTATTATAATTATTATTATTATTATCATTATCATTATAATTATTAAATATATTAAATACATATAAATAATATTAAATTACAAGCCCAAATACCGGTCCAAACCAAACCGAAACCCTAAAACATTTAGGGTTTTAGTTAGGGTTCTCTAACTCTAGCCGCCTCTGCTGCCGCCGCCGCTCCAAGAGATCTCAGCAGCCGCCTCTACCGACGCCTCCCAAGCCAGATGGTTCAACCAGATGCTGCCGACACTACAGTACCACGCCCCTCGTCGATGAAGCCTCCAGAAGACCCAGCTGCCCTCCACACGTCAATGCTCAAGGGTGAGTCACCACAAGTTTGGTGACTCACCGAAACTCACTCTTTGGACCGGTCCGATGACCACACCGGTGATGGCTATAAAAGCCACCACCCAAACCTGCAAGAGAGGGACGGAGACAGAAACACAAACACAGAGACAGAAAAAAAAAAGATACACGGAGAGGAGAGAAAAACAGAAAAACAAGATAAAAAAACTACTACCAACGATCTCAGCAGAAAAGAAACAGAAAAGAAAGAAAAAGGAAGAAGAGAAACTTACCGAGGAAGCCCCGACCACCGGATCTCACCAAAACCTTCGAAAATACCGAAGGTATTTCTTTGGATTTGCTCCGATTGGAAGATATTTAGGAGAAAATAACGCCGGAACCGTCCTTAGGACGGTCCGATCTACCCAATAATATAAAAATAAAATTTTCCGGCCACCGGATGCGGTGGCCGGCGGTGACGGTCACGGCGGCAGACGGTTGTCGTCCGGTGACCGGCTTCCCTCCGATGAGGGAAGCTAGAGAGAAGCCAGAGCTCTCTCTGCTTGAGAGAGAAAGAAAAATTTGAAATGAAGGCTAGCCCTTCAGGCCAGCCGGTTTTGGACCTTTTATAGGCCTTCCCGAACGACGTCGTTTCGAGAAGGACTATGCGCATAATTAGATAATAGTTAAACCCCGTCCGAAGCCATTCCAACTTGTAAACTTTACATTCTAGTCACTAATCGAATTCATAATACTTTTATTTGATCTCGAAATTTTAATTTTATTTATTTTAGTCCTTTTTATTAAAATAATATATTTAGGATAAATAACAGATTTAATCCCTTAATTTTAATAAATAATTTTTTAATCCCTAGTTTATATTTTTAATTTATTTTAATATGATATTCGAATTTTAGATAATTTTATTTTAGTCACTAAATAAATAAAATAAAGAAATAGCATGTTTAATCCCTAATATTTTGATTAATTATGAATTAGGTTTTTAATTTTATTTTTACTATAATTTAGTCATTTATTTTAAATGTTTTCATTTATTTTACTGATTTTAAATATATCGTTCTATTTGTATTTTTATTGTTTTAATTTTACTTGTTTATATTTTTAAAATTTTTATGTATTCATAATATATATAATAAAATAGTAATTAAATTTTTTAATATCGAAGAAAAGGACAGTCTTAATACAACTGGATGTCCTATTCTGGTATTTTAAAATTAAACAATATTATTTAAATTAATATTTATCAATATCAAAGAAAAGAGCTGTCTTAAGGCACCTAGAAGTTCTTTTCTGATATTTTTAAATAAATAAATATTTTTTTATATAATTTTGAAATAATATGATTATAAATTAAATATATTTTTGAATTTTTTAAAATTTTAATAATAGAGACAATTTATAATTAAAAAGTACAAATTTTGGGCGTTGTAGGGGTGCTAATCCTTCCTTAAACGTAACCGACCACGAATCCCTTTTTATTATTAAAAAGAATGAATTTTTGGTTATAAACGCATATCAGTTCATTTTTTTTAATTGATGTTTTCTTAAAACTCTTTTAAGAAAATAATTTTTAGGTATTCGACCTACCTAACCCAAAAGGCCAATGGCGACTCCCAAATTATTTTTAAAACTATTTATTCACATCAATTTCCCCGTCAAGTATAATATTTCGTGCCCGGACGAAAACCGGTTACGACACAGTGCTTGGTTGAAGGAATAAGAGATTACTAAAACGTATATTTTACCAAATTATCCTTGTTCTATATGTTTTAAAAGGTGGAATTCTAAATATTTATATAAAAAATATCAAAAATATATTGTTTTATTATTTTAAATTTATATATTTTATAATAAAATTTATATATAATTTTTTAGAATAAAAGAGTAAATATATCATGTATTATTTTAATTATAAGTAATATTAATTTTTATATTATTTATCTAAAAATATATTAAAATTTTACATCAACATTTAACTAAATAAACATATGAAAATTTTAATAGATTTAACATTATCAATAAAAAATGATTTAACATTATTAATCAAAAGCATTGGGGTTTAGACACTTGATTTAGTCGAGTAATGCAAAGTCAAGGAGGATCCAACTGTTCAATCAGACCCTTAATTATCCCAATCTGCAATCTGCAATCTGCACCCAGCCACACAGCCACAGACTCTTTTAAACCCATATAACAGATCGGTCAATGGATACTACCAGATTGAGCTTAAGTTACCGATCGCCACTTGGTTCATAACCAAAAAGAAAATAGGATATGTTAATAGTCTAAACAAACAACATGATAAGACTAATTTATAATAACCTATGGAGACAAACACCAAACAAGTTCACAAAATGAGAATTACATAAACTAAATTTATAATAACCCATAATCGCGCAATTTCGAAGTTCTTTGACTCAATTTGAGCTTCCATTTCCGTCTCCAACTCTGCCCTTGCAATGCCCCTTCCAACACATAATGATACAAATCGTGCAATTTGCTGCCTCATCTCTTCAGCCTGTTTCACCAGATCATCATCTGTCACATCAATAGGATCTGCAGGCAGTAACAATCCCACAATAGCCAACACTTGGCTCATTCTTTTCCACACACATCGCAGCTTGCTTAGAGCCTCTTATGCCTGCTTCCTCTTTTCTATTTCCATGAGTAAGCTCAATCTTATTTCTCACACTTCAGCTTCAGTATCACGATAGCTAGGCTGTGTACCACTCTCGGAGGATAATTCTGAAGGAAACAAGAAATCAAAGTAAACTTGATAAAAACAACCACAAAATCATCCCTATTCCAAATTAAGTTGTATCTATGGGAAAATTTTCATAGTTCCCAATATTTCAACAAAAATGTCGTATTCCATCCAGGCATACTGGACACACATATGCACACATGAACATAGAAAATACTATAATATGACTTTTATACATGGCCTTTTCATTGTTAAGTCTTAATGTAATCAAGACATTTGAACAAAGGCTAGCACATATCATAATATCACAGACGAAGTAGATACACCAGCTTTTTTTTTTTTGATAGAAATACACCAGCTTTTAAATGAAAAAATTAGCAACATGCAAGAAATTTGTTTTTCAGCAACCCTACATTTAAACATATGCAGTTATCCATGATCGTATTCAGAAGAAAATAAAACTCTACATACCATCCCAGGCATAAAAAAACTCAACCCCTGAGGTACCAAGCCTTGCAGTACTTTCATCATCTCCATCGGTATTAGTTGTGGCGCTCATGGAATCCTTTGGATCAAAGAAATCTTCACTTTCATCACCTCTGTTCAAGTTCAATGAAACAAGCTTTGGCGAAGCAATATCACTGGCCATACCATTATTCATTCGCCTGCTTTCAACTGCTATATTACTGCTCCCAAATTCACCATCATGGATACCATTCATGTGCTCATCTTGAATGGAGCTAGCATGGAAACCATTTGCCTGCTATACTTTAATAGGACCATTATTGACACCATTTTCATGCTCCTCTTCATCAGGTTTATGAATTTTAAAACTAATAGAAACATTATTAGATAGATCAACGGACTTGGTTTCTATAAGCTCTGTCTTCCCATTAGCCTCACTTTCTTCATTGGTTTTCTTCCAAATTGATACGTTGTTTTCAGAAAAGCTCTTTAAAAGATGAGGCCCATGGCGTTTGTGATTAATAATGTAAGGTGATGGAGGGAACGAAGATGGTGAATCGGGTAGTGGAGTTGTCTCAGGAGTGGCATAGAGGGTAGGTGATATTTGGGGATGATTAACCTTCCTTTCAGTTACTGATGCACTGTTCCTACTCTAGCTTCGAATTGGTTATAAGCTTTGGCTTGGGCAGAGGTGGTTTCATATTAGGACCAGACTTGTCAACATATTCTGAAGTTCCAGGTTATAACAACCTATCCAAAGCTATAGCAGAAAACGTTGGCATGGCTCTGGATTACCAAAAACAAAAGCTAAAGTCAATAAACCCATACATATAATTTTCTTCGAAGAATAACCAGAAGGAAAGAGAAAGAAGAAAATCTCATTGTTGCAACATCTGAGAACATTCTACATTCCATAAACTAGATACGATTCAACCATAGTTGTTAAATGTGTTCAAGTGACCTAATTACAACCTAAACTTCAATGATTTCCTCCTGTCTCTAATCGGAACTGTGAGCTAACTACAACCATCTAAACCCTAAAGCCAAAGTCCCTGAACCAACATAGCCAAAAAAAAGTGTGGTCTATCTTCCAATCCCTCAATCAGCAACCAGAAAAATTGTGACAATAAAAATTAAACAGCTCAAACAATCTTAAATTCATATAGACACATTTACTCAGAATTTTAGATATTCTGTTTCACTAAAATAATTTTATTTGCTTCATGAAAAACTAAAACCTATATGCTGGTTTTGAATAAGAAATCATTCAGCTAAATTAAAGCCCTCATACAAATATGACTCAATGAAAAAGAGAACCCAGAAACAGAGGTATCATACACATACAAAAGTGAACACATGAGTCTTCCTCTTGATTTACGGCAACCAATCAGAACGAAAAAATTATCCTTTAAAATTTCAAAATTCAACTACCTACTTCAACTATTAGATGAGTTGCAAAAAAATGGAAAAAATAATATAAACCGAACACGACTACCAATGCGATAACTAAAAACAAATCACATAAATTCCTGGACATAAACAATGTCGAGGAGAAGAAGATAAAAGAAAGGAAATTTTAATGGGAGAAAATGGACAGAATCAAGGTCAAGGAGAAAATAAAAAACAAGTAACATTACTGAGAAAATAAAAAAAAAGGGAGTGGAGAAGAAATTTTACCAGGAGAAGAAAACTACGAATTTTTATTCCTTCACATAGGCAAGGAGAAGAAGATAAGGAAGGGTATTTTAGCCCATTAAACACGGGAATAAAGAAATATCTAGGTGAGATGTGGGAATAATATTTCCAGTAATATTAGGGATGGGTATGGGTCAGGTTAGGTCGGGTTTTTAGTCCATCCGACCCGACTCGAGAGAAGGGGATCTCTACCCGTGACTCAATTTGATCCGACGAAATTAATTTTTCACCCGACCCAATCCGACCCGACCCGAAATAATAAAAATAATTATTTTTATTCAATAAAAACAGTGACTAAATTGAAAAAAATAATATATGGAGGGGTATTATTATAATTATTCCTAAATATATATGGTAAAATTATATATTTTTTTCGGGTAGGGTCGGTCGGATTTTTTTCATCCTAAACCCGAACTCAACCCGAACACCACATAAAAAAACCCGACCCGAACCCAAATTATTTTAAAAAAAATCAGACCCGATCTGGTCGTGTCGAAACCCATCGAGTTCGGGTTAGATGTCCATCCCTAAGTAATACAGATTAAAAAAAATACTGTTGGTATTGATCTTTACCCTCACTTGGGAATGTCAACCTATCCAAACGTGGGAATCTTAACTTGGAAAAAAATATTACCTTCAGGAATGCAAAAATCCGGAACCAAACGCCCCTTAATGTATTGGCTTTGACCTCTCTTTCCATTAAAAAAAGTGCGTAATTTAAGCTTGTTGGGCCTTAATATTTTTAAATCGGGTCTTATCTTGGCCCATGAACACCTCTAAGTATGACAAACCTAACATTCGGCCGAGAAGAATCTGAAAGAGCCCCGAACGTGACAGAAGGGTCTAGAATATGTCGGAAGCTTGTAGAAGAGACTAAAAGCTCTCATATATTCTAGGTTGTATAGATGGTTCTAAAGAAAACGATTCAACTGTACACATTGTTACTATTAGATTGTAGGAGCTTGACATATAAATAAGGAGATACCCCTCCATCGTTTGCAATATAATGACTTGAGAAATAAATGCTTTCATGCATCCTCTCTTTATTCTTGTAGCTTGTTTTAGTGTGCACAATAGGGTGTCTAGAAGGTAATTAAGGTGTCTCTATATTTGAACGGTGATATAGATGTACATGAACTAAAGTATCGAGCCTAATGTCACATCCCTACAAATTCTCTAACAAGTGTTATTAGAACTTGAACTAGTGTCGCAATTATAATCGAGTGTAATTTAGTGTTCTAATATTTTAATAATACTTTCAAAAATTATTCATGATTCTTAATTTATTTATGAAAAAGAAATGATAAAATATATAAATAATTTCTTGATTATAAGAATTTCTTTAAACCCTCTAAATATAAAAAAAAAATTAACCAAATAGCCCAATAGTCCAAACCTATATAGCCCATAGTGCAAAGAAAAGTTATTAGTCCCTAATTTTAACGGTGGCCATCATTGATAGAATGTTTTTTAATGACCTTCTAATTATCTCAAATACACAAACATATGCAAAATTAAAAATAAAATTCCACCTAAAATCAAAATTGAATCCCACTCAAACATAATTTAATCTAAATCCTTAGAAATATGATGTTTTCCCATTTAACTAATTGGACATGAGATTAAGATAAAAGAGTGAAAGTTGTTATTTCGAGAGAGAGAACAAGAAGAACCAGACGTTAAACATACATTTAGATTCTTTACGAACTAACATTCAACGAGGAGTTTTCAAGCTTGAAGATAACAATCAAAACTTTTCCCCTAAATTTATGCAATTCTAGTGATTTCTTTGTAAAACTAACCTTGAATTCGTATTCATAGAGGCAATTAATTTCTTTTACAAAATTATAAAATTTTGAAACTTCCTAGATACTCTGGAGGCCTCGACATATCAATGATTAACAACTAAATTATAATTTACAGAAAATACAATAAAAATATTTTTATTTTTAAATTGTATAAATAGATTTTACTCTCATTTGTTAACATATTCCTAAAATCTAATAAAAAAAATCCAATACACCATATTAGATAACTATTATTCTATAACTATAAATTTATAATAATTTGAAGAAACGATACAAGAGACTCTTTGGAAGGAAATTATACTTCTCTCGATTTCGATTTGCAATTGTTGATGATCTTTCAATATTTAAATCTTATATTATAGTTTGTTTATCGATACAATCAGATCTAATCTTATCTATATTTTATTTTAGTTTTTAGGATGAATTTTTACTTCTTTCTTATATAGAATCTTTCTATAATTTTAAGTTATTAATTTCTCGTTTCAACTTTTAAACAGTAGTTTTCGTCCTAGTTAATATATATTATAATAATATATTATTATTATTATTATTATTATTATTTAATATTAATACAAGCCCAAATATTACAAAACCCAGGGCCCAATACAACAAACCAAACTAGTCCAAAAAATATACAAACCCGACCCAAAATACAAAGTATATCCATAACCGGTCTAAGCCCAGGACCCGATCCAACCCAGCAAGCCCAGAAAACAGCTAGGGTTTCCCATCTTCTCCAGTCGTCGTTCTTCATCCACTGTTGGATTAGACTTAGGGTTTTACCCTAATGATACATTCAGTCGCCGCCTCCAGATGTTCCAATCAGCCATTACCACAGAGTCGCCGCTGCACCGGCCAAATCGAAGAAGATGTGGGTACATTTAATGCACCCAACCAACTCACAATCTATAAATCGGTGCCGCCCCTAGTCACCGCCATAAACTGGTGACTCAGAGGGAACCCATCCCTCTGACCGATCTAAAAGGCACACCACGTGGCCTATAAAAGGGCCAAACTTGCAAGAGAAATAAAGAAAAAATAGACAACAAAAGAGGGCAATAGAACAGGGGAGAAACAAAACCAAACAGAAGACAGAGAGAGCAACAACAACCAAACCATTCGAAAGAAGTAGAAAAAAATATAAAAGAAAGGAAAAAAGATAGAAGTAAAGCTTACCCTCGTCGGACCCTCAACGCGTCGTCGAACCGTCGAATATTTCGAAGGTAAAAATGTAGATCTAGAACGACTGACTAGTTTTTAGGACGAGAAAAGGTTGGATTTGGGTTTAGGGACTAAAAAGCTTCAATTTTGGTTCATTTTCCAAATTCTAGCCACCATGGATGATGGCCAGCGGAGGTCGCCGATGTCGATATACAACGGTCGGCCTGGTGGTCGGTTTCTCTCCGGTGAAAGATTTAGAGAGAGGCGAGAGAGAAGCAAATGAGAAAAATGAAGGATATGGGTCATTTAGGCCGGTTATGGTGTATAAATACCCTCCCCAAACAATGTCATTTTAGGGGGAGGGTTTCTACGTATTCAACTTATGGGTAAATCATTCTCGTCGTCCCTGTACTTTATAATATTTACGATTTAATCACTGTAATTGACTTCCATGTATTTTAATTTGGATTTCAAATTTTATTTTGTTTATATTTTAGTCACCAACCGTATTTATATATATATATATTGGGATAAATATATGATTTAGTCCTTAGATTTTAATAATTTCCATTTCGATCCTTAAGTTTATTTATGGTTAAATTACACTTCCAGTACCTAGTTTTTGTGATGTTTCTGTTTGTGACCATTACTTTTGCTTTCTTTATGATTTAATCCTCAAATTTAATATTTTTAATTCTAAATAATATTATTGGTTTATTTACAATTGTAGTATCTAACATATTAATTATTCACATTGGTTTCCTTAATCTTTTGTTAGTTTTATAATTTGATCTTTAAATTGATTATATTTATTATTTTAATATTTTATTTTTATATATTTATTGTATTTAAAATTTAAAGTAATACTACTTTGTACAAGGAATCTATAAAAATGTCCCCTTAATTGACTAGGGAGATATTTTCGAGGATTATTCGTATAAAATAATATTCCTTTTATTTTTCTAAAAAAATATCATAATTTAAATGTTATTCGAATTTGCTAATTATAATATTGAGATGACGTATAATCGTGTAAGTACCAATTTTGGGCAATGTGGGGGTGTTAATCCTTTCCCACGCGTAACCGACTCTCGAACATGTTTTCAAAAAGAATCTCTGATCAAACGCATATCAAATTTTTATCTTTTCAAATTATTTTTCTTAAAATTATTTTAAAATATATTTTTAGGGATTCGACTTACCTAACCCAAAAGGTCGATGGTGACTCCAAACCCATATATTTATTTTATT